AGACAGGACTGAGCAAGTTAGCTCAGGAAGGAGGAAGAATGTTTACTGTGGGGAGGTAAAGGTGGAGAACCCAGTAAAAAAAAGAAGTTGGATATATTAAGTTATTTATTTTATGCCAAAATAGTAGCAGAAGATTTTTGAGGAAATTAACAAAGATCTAAAAATGAGCAGTTGCTAGGTATCCTCTGCTAATTGCATTTCAATAGATGGGCAGAACCACCAGTTGCCAAGTAATTCCAGGAAAATTTAGACATGAAAAAAGGAATGTGCATAACAAATGGTGGATAGTAGAATGCAGAAATTGCTAAATGCTGAAATAAGACCAGCCAGGCTTTTAAATGCACAATGGTTGCTTCATTTGAGAAAGAAATTGGTTATTGAACTTTAGTTGGAGAAATATCAATAACAGAACAGATCGAGTAGAACTATGTTGCAAAAAGAAGATATGTAAACTCCATGAACAGCTGGAAATCACATGTAGACACCCACTTCAACTGACGTAGATTCAATTAGAATGCAATAAAAAGTTCAGCTTTGGAAAAAGAGTTAAATAACTTAAGCAAACAGAGTTCATTAGAGAGACAAAACCAAACAGGGAATCAGGGGACCAAAAGGCAGTCAATGAGCATGACAAATTAGCACGGGGGTGGTGTATGCTGCAGGGAAAGGAAAAGAACCCAATAACATATGCTAATGAAAACAGCATCATATCCCAGTGCAGAGCAGCCCTTGGCTCCTGACTCTAAATGAAGAAGGCTAGCAGCAATGTTCGACTTTAAAAACGGGGATAATATTCAGTTATCTGGGCCCATCTTAACTGGACTAAATCTTGGAGTTCTCTTTCTGCAGATGGGTGTAAAGAAGAGGAAAAAAATAGCTAAACAGATTAGACTCTATTTCTGCAGTCCTACAGAGACCAAGTCATGATGAGAGATGACATAAGGATTAGTATTCAAAGAATGCAAGGCCTTTGGTACTGCAAGTTTAGCCTCAAGGATTTAATTGCTTCTGTCTGACTAGCTAGGTGTCTGTACACTGAACTGCGTCGCCAGATGAGGAATACACTAGAAGTTTCAGCAGCAACGAAATGTAAAGCAAACAAGACTCCTCTCTCTCCACACAACTTCAGTGTTAGATGGAGAGTAACAAATAAATGAAGAAAAAAATTAAGATTCAGCCTGTTGCTGGCAGCACAAAGATGACAACGCAGGATCAAAGAGCAGCCAAAAGATACACCAAATGCAAACAGATACAACTTTTATACCAATTGCACAGTACTACACAATAGTAATGCTGAAACAATATACCCAATTAGATTGGCAATGTAGGAAAAGTAAAACCCAGCAAGTACAACTACCTTATCCTCATCAAGGGGATCTGATTTGTACTACTTCCTTTCAAAAGACCTACAGTGACATAGAGTTAGGAAATCAGGCCCATTACAAGCACACATACAGAGAATATGAAATGAAAAAAAAGAAGTAAAAAAGTTTGACATAACTGGAAACACTTTTATAGAATTTTAATGGAACAAACTGATCAGAAGCTAAATCTGGGAATAAAATGAATAAAAGCCAAAGGTAACCATGGCTTCTACAAATACATCACATGTTGTTTTGAAGACTGCATCTTCATAGAATCATCAAGGTTGGAGGGGACCTCTAAGATCATCGAGTCCAACCATTAGTCTGCCACTCTGTTGTAATATTGACTACTATGAATCAAAAATTAATACAGCATCATAACTATCTAACATGTTTCCTGGTTAACATTTGAGAATGGCATAAGACACAAAAGAGACTGTGGAACCATTATCCTCAAATCATTGTGGGACTAGACTGAAATATTTACCACAGAGAGTTGAAAGATAACAAAACCAATCTTATCAGTTCATGGCTGCCCAAACTAGTAACTTATTGTTTACGTAGATGGAGAAGGTTCCTGTTCAAAAGAACTGGTAGCACAACCATTTTCTTTATATTGTAATTCACAGGTTCTTGTTTTGGTGCACATAAAACCACCCTGTAGCACAGTGAGTCAGGCTACCTGTGAGGAGAAAATCATTAACCTACTAACAAAACTTCCTTCTCTAGGAGATGGTAAAGAGATTTCCCTTGAGAGGGAGGAAGTCAATTAACATTTGAAAGGCCTTACCAACAGAAAGCCTGTTTACCTACACCTCAGCAGG